GGAGAGGAACCCCCCAAGGAGGGGTGTGCGGGCGGTGGCCAGTCAGGTCAGGTGAAGCTGTTGGCGACCCGGAAGTCGTACGGCGACCTCCCGGCCGCCACCTCACCTAATCGCAGCAAGCCTCAGCCGCCGCCCACTGCGCGCAAACCCCGTCCTCTTTCTGACGGCATCTTCCTGTCTAGCTCGTTCCAGCCGCCAGCCAACAACTCCAACAGTACAGGCCCCCCCCTTCCTGGCAAACCCAGCTCCAACCCCCCAGGAGGCTTTAAAGGTAGACCCAGAGAGAGGAGAGAGAGGAGTCAGGCTTGCCACAGCGCCCTCTACAGCTCCCAAGCCTCCCTCTCATTCACCCATCTCTTCATTTACTACCCACTCCTTCATGGTTTAGTGCTAGTTTGTTTCTTTTTACCTTGTTTTTCAATAGAGACGTGTTTTGCCTTTTCACTCCACTGTCTTTCCTCTTTTACGTGTTTGTTCAGATTTTTTAGTCGTGAATCAGTCCCTTCAATCATCACTGTATGTTTTTTATATTTCCCTCCCTCTCCTCAAGTGAATGTTTTGTATTTTTTCATGTTGATTTGTTTGATCAGCTCCTCCTGTCCCCAGTCATATTTTTTTCCTCCTCATCTTCCTCCAATCACACCCCCCTCAATCAGCACTAGCGAACAGAAAAAGCAATCGATAATCATGCCACCACTTTTTGCTGCAGATTGAGACCCATCAGAGCCAATCATAGTACTGTTGGTGTTGTCGCTCGCCGCCTCCTTTGTGTCTGGTTGGTTGCTGCTTGGGACGGGGGGCGAGGCCAGCCGTCAGTTTGCCTGCCTGCCCTGTGGCTCTGCTTAGCGGTGTTGGCTTTAAAGGGAAGGAGACACCCCATTGGCTTTACACACCCGCCCATCACTAGATGAAAAAGTCCCAGTTCCCATTTTCCAAGCATAAACACAGCAGTAGTGTGAGTGAAGGAGCGTTGCTTTGTCTGTGGCTGTTGAAAAGACTCATTATTGTCAGAAAGATTCTTAGCTTCTATAACTCAGGCTGGTCAGACCACAACGCCTCCTAATGGCAGTTATTTGCTGTTTAATGTTCATTTCCATGGGAATAATTGTCATCAAAAAGATCTTAAATGGCTCGTGTTAATCGTTGTGTGCATCAAGCACAGAACGCCAGAGCTGCATTTTACATGAGACGGCAATCTTTATTTCCTGTAGGACAGCGATGTCTGACTCTAGAAAGATCAGACTGCAGTCAGTTGGAAGCTGTGTACAACTTTCAACCTTCATAATTTTCACTCCTTCAACTAATGTGGGATGTGACCTCCACAGTAGGTTCCAGGTGATTTCTGCTACACAACAGTGTATTTTTCTTTTAATATTTCTTATATACAACCTCTCGCTGTTATAAATGTTTGGATACTGTTACTTCTGCAACACATCAAATTATTCAAACAAGGCCAAAAAAAAAAAAAAAGCCAGTTTATTAGGTACACTTGGCTAAAGCCAAGTTAGTCTGATCCAACAGTCTTACAATAACTCGTCTTTCATGAAGGTGAGGTTTGGTTTTTGTTCAAGCTGTTAGAGAAGTGATGATTCAGCTATAGACTTCAGTTTAGCTTGGTGTACCAGTGTAGTCTTAACTGGCTCCATGAACACAGCTTCATTTTAAGTAGCCAAAAGCCAACACAGGTTGGGGACCACTGGTCCAAATTAGTGGTGCTTTCCTCTCTGGGACTGTGAGATCAAGAATTAAAAAGTCAAATCTGCCACACAAAAATATTTTTCTAATCTTTGCATTTTTATTTCAGTAATTCTATACAGTTTAATAGTTTTTAAAAGGCCCAAACAAATTAAAGATGCCATAATTACAGTTCCAAACTGATAAATAGGCGACCTGTGCTAATTAGGCCCAGATATCAAACCTCACTACTTTGTCATATTGACTGAAATGTATGTGTAGCAGAGTATAAACGCGTTAAACTACTGAAAGTAGGCATCAAATGTCTGCTCTAGTTTGTAGCCTTGTTTATCTATTTGATCAGATCCAGCTCCCAATCTTCAATTTCTTGAACTGCTGCTTCTGTTTAGACCACATGTAATAGTTGAGAACTTTAGCTTCTTTTGATAAAAGGAAATCTTATTCAGTGATATGTGGTCAAGACCTTGTGTTGAGGTATCAGCAGCAGTGACCTGTGGTCTGTCCTTCAGCAGACATTAGTGACTCTGCGTTCCTGTAGTTTGAACATCCACAGACAAACACGCAGCACAGTCTGAATGTGGACACCGCCTGAGGTCCAGGAAACGGCTGCCTGCACCTTCACCTTAACCCCCCTCCACCTCCTGCTGCTTATTAAACATTAACATACAGTACATCCAGGACCTCATGGGAAACTTTGGGTAGCATTTTCACCCAGATTCACATACAAACCACATCTCACTAACATCCCAGTACCCCCACCCACCCGACCACCTTCAGAAACAAAAGCTGCATGTGTCATCACCCAACTCACACGCACATCGGAAACACAACACTGCAACTCTGGCTGCCAGCTGCTCACCCCAGTTAACTGGCTTGATGTCTATTGCTTTTTCCTGCCTGTGCTTCCACCAGGCTGCAATCTGCTGCCTTTACTTATTTTTATTTGTGTCTGTGCTCACTCTTGCTTCCCTTTACGTGTCTCTGTGGGTCACTGTTAATTTGCCTTCCCTTAATTTTCCTCCTTGTGTGTGCTCTGTTGTTTCGGCTCTGTCAGCGATCCGGCTGACCCTCATTTGGCCTGTCATTCTGCGTCTCTGCTGTAGCTGTGATGCTGTCTAACGCTGCAGCTCTACTAAATCTTACTACAACTCCCACAGTTCAGGTGGCCTAGCAGCACCCGAGTCTCTGGCTCCCCTGACATTGCCAATCTCAAAATGTATCCAGTGAGTGTGATTCGATCGGCTGGCAGCTCCAAAAGCTCGAGTCTGGTTGTAATATAAATGTGATCTCTTCCTTAAGACAGAGATTTTTCTAATCAGAATAAAGCCGCAAGGAAAAACGATACCTCACAAGGTGCACCACCTAGAACGCTACAGAGGAAGAAGAAATTCAGTTTTCCAAAGAGATGGATGTTCTAACAAACTGCATTGGTGCAGAACAACAAAGGGTTTTTTAGCCACCACTGGTTTCTGAGATAAGTGAACCAGAGGAAAAGAAAAACATTCACAACCTTTGAGAGTCTGTGAAAAAGCCTGTGGGTGAATTTTAGGCTGCCGTGCCAGAAGTATAATTTTTCATCTCTTTTTGGCTCCACAGAGGTATGCAACTGGCCTTGGATAAGGGTTGTTTCTCTGTGGTTACTTTGTTCTCTGTCAGTTTGTGTGGTTTTGGGGGCTGAAGTTGGAGCCGGCTTGATCCCAGCCCAAACTACACTTCAGATCTCTCTCTGCTTTCGTGCTGTAAAAGCTGAAGAAAAGAGCCTCGGAGCTGCCAGCCGGATGAATCCATCTGGGTTCTCACCCTGTCACTGTGTCTGCACTGAACTGTACCAGCCCCTCTTTCATTTAATCTGAAACACAAGACCAGCATGCATTTGGACTGCAGTTGTCCTTTTGAATCACAACCAAGAAGAGTTGAGACTCCATGTTTAATGTCCAAGTCCTGGGTTGTTCCTGGGACTGTACCTGGTCCCAGCGACTTTTTTTAATGATCAGCACACTAAGAGAGAAGACCTGTGCTGTTCTCGCTCTGAAAGATTGTTATTCTCATGTCACACATATGACAATACACAAATATACAGAGATGAACCTCTGCAGACTCTTGGGTCAGATCGTTGTGAACCACCTGACAAAGTCTGGTCTGGTCTGACAAGTTCAGGCTCCATCTGTGTCTCATTGGAACCCGGATGTAGCTGCAGTTTGAAAAGACACAGGGGACACATGAGCCAACTGGTTAACTCTGGGGTCAAAGGTCCGGATCACCACCTTCATGTCGGTTCCATTTCTGTTTTTCTAAAGTACACCTCTTAAAGTAGATGTTAAATGTGTGAGTTGGTTTGACTTTGACAGGACTCGAGGTCAAAATCATTTAAATCATCAGTTCAAAGCATATCAATTGCATTGTGATGAATTAACCAAAATGTCAAACATACTGACAGGAGTCAGAGCAGCGTGCAGCTCCGGCTCCACAGCTGGAAAGTTCAGACATGTCTGATGGTGAACTCGGCCTCGGTTCCCACCCGACACTTCCACAGACCGTTTTGCTGCTTTGGAATGGCCCTTTAACAGCTTCGTAATGCTTTCTCTCTTTCTCTCTACCTGGCTCGCTGCTCTAGTCTAATGAGACCTGATTGTTTCTGCCTAATCCTCCTCCAGAACTCGTTCCCTTCCTTCCTTCTGCTTAGGCTGGTCTGTGGGAACTGAAGTGATGTCGACCTGAGAAGCTGCAGGGTCCTGGTGACCAGGGTCTCACCACAGTAATCCATACTGTGCAAAAAAACTAATTGTTTTCCCCAAGTTTCTAAGTAGAGTGATTGTATATTCTCTAGAAGAAATTATTATGGTGAGGGACCTTGTCCGCTGTCACCCAGCAGCTTCTCAGATGTTTCTAAATTTTACAAGCCGTGTCTGAATGATGCTGACTCTTGTCTTACTGCTCTGTGTGATTCCTGAACCTTGGACAGGATTTATCTCGTACACTGGAAACTCAGCAGGAGTTGTAGGATCAGGAGAAGTCTACAAGGACCCACGAGACAAATGGACAAAGAGGTAAGCCCTCTGTGTGTCTGTGCACTAGGTTCTTTATTTGAAGGACTAATTCAGCCAAAGAATGACTGCTTCGTGATGTCATATCTTCCAGCTCTAACAAAAATGTCATATAATTGTTTCTTATCTTTATGTATGAGAATGGCGTCCACCGGGGGTCGTTGCGCACTGACCTGGAGACCTGCCTCCAGTAATCACAGGTTCCCAGCCACAGTTTACTTACTAATATCTGTTATGGTGTGTTTTGCAGTCAGGAGCAGGAGAACTCGAACCCCGGCGGTGCTCCAGAGTCTCTGACCTTCAAGGAGCGCCAGCGTCTCTTCTCTCAGGGGAAGGAGGTTTCCGACAAGGTCAAGGCTTCACGCAAACTCATGGAGCTGGAGAATGAGCTCAACACCAAGTAGTAGACCCGGGCCTTTTGCCTCCCTGCGCCACCTTAACACCAATGTCACCACGGTAACATTAAGGTGCCCCTGGGACGAAACCAGGTCGAGAGTTGGTGCTCGCTTTCCTTGCCACTGACTTTCTCCTCCTGTTAGTGTTGTTTTCCCTTTATTTTTTTATTTTATTCATTGAATAACTGGACCATTCACTTTTTTGATGTAGCTGTATCGTTGCAGTAGGAGAGACATTTATGGCTTAAAGATTTCTTCCCCTTGTTAAAGCACTGTAAAAAAAGTTTTAATTATATCTAGTGAGAATCTGAGAGTCACACAACAAAGGGGGGTATATTTTTGTTTGCACAATGGTTCTGGGGGCCCGGACTGGAGACAGGCTTATTCTCATTTTTAAATTTTTTTTTAAATAGCTTGTTGAAATTTGAGTTTTATGATGTTATTTTATGCTCTTTCTGCAGCATCGTTCCACACTCGTAATTCTTCCTTGCCAGCAGAAATGTCTGAGGTTGAGGTCCAGACCAATCTTTTTCTTGTTTTTTAAAGTTGAATTCTCAGTGAGTGAAAACACTGTTATTTCATTCCATAGATCTTTTTTAGATTAAATCTGAAAGATTCTCCAGAGGAGGGTCATACAGTCCAGACTAAGATCTGTAAGTGCACAACATTACTGTAAATATTCAGGTCCACAACTGTCTCACTCTTTTACTACTGTAGAAACATGCCAGGCTTCGGAAAACTGCAACACTAATGTGATTTAACAGCAGTTTAGTGACAGAAAATCCGACCAAAGCTGGACTGGCTGCTCGTTGCTCCTCACCGTCAGTGGAGTTCATTTTTAAATATTTCACCCCAGTGTGAGGTAACTTTAATTTTACTTTGTTTTAAAATCAGTTATTTGTGGCAGAGTTGTGTTGTTAATTTGACTATAACCTAAATTCAAGTCAGAAATAGGAACTCCTTTCACCTACAATGTGATTGTTGGTTTTCACAATAAAAAAAAGAAGTTAACACTACTCTCTACGTCCTCGTTCCTTTGCATTACAGATATTTATTTCAAACCTTGTGGAAAAATACTTGCACAAAGATGTGTTTTTAATATTAAATGTATATCAACAAATTGAGTTGTGGAACACATTTGGGACCTCTCGTACTGTGGTAATGTTTTTCAGGATTAAAGGAATTTCGACAGGTGTGGTTGATTGTTTTTTTTTTTGTTTGTTTGTTTGTTTTTAAAGGACTGGAGTGAAGGTGATAGAAATGTGATTGTACAATTAAACATAAAAACAGTTAAATCACAGTAGAATTGCATTCACCGCAGCCGCTGCTCTGCTGACATAGAAAAGGAAGGCACTTCAAACCCTGGTGTGTCCCCCAATTAAAACAAATTACATGTATTTCTCTTTTGCAGTTTGTTTGAGTGACTCCATTCTGTGTGTGGACTTATTTTATTTTTCTCTCCAGGAGCCTCCATTTAAACAGCTTCTACATGATGAGATAAGATGCTGTTATAATAACTGGCCTATAAAAATACTACAGATGTGCCCCCCCCCACATCAACAATGAATCCTTTTTAGGCTTCAAAATGAACTGAATCATTCAAATGGTTTCATGTTTAGCTTTTTGTAAATCATTAATAAATACAGATTTTTCAACAGTGCAGGCTGGAAGTGTGGTCCTTTGTCATTGCAGCCTAAGTATATTCCATCATGTTCTGTTTACATGGCTAATCTGACCTTTATTGGTCTACTTTTGATTTGATGGAGAAACTATGAACTTTAAAAGGACTTTCCTTCTGCAAACAGTAGTTTTTATTTAACATATATAAAGTTAAAAATAGTTTACTTCTCTTTTCTACACTATGCTGGAAACTGGTATTCAAGGAAAGCCTAGTGCACTTAGGTACATTTGTGGTACTGTAGCCTACTTGATTCAAGGTTTATACTGACTGACTACTCCACAGAAACCAAATCAATGTTAAACTGATTTGTAATGGTTCCATATTTGCTAGCAACATTTTACGGTAAATTACATTTGGTGCTGGTGATCGTTGACAAAAAAAAAATCTTGGAGGCAACGTAACTTGAACACATCGACATTTGCTTATTTATTGACCTCAAACAGAACAACCGGAAGTGATAACTCACGTTGAATGACTTTAGAAACTGTCAAGTCGATTTTAAATACTTTTTCAAACCGCAACAGACTTTTGTTTCAGATTTTTAACGTTTGTCAAATAGTGTATGTAACGTTAGTTTTGACTATTTTAAAAAGCGGACATGATATTAAATATTGTGACGTTAAGACGCTCGTGGCCGACCGTTAAGTATAGTACGCTTTGGCAACGGCGTCGCTAAACAACGACGTTCGATACACAACCGTTTATAAAGGTTTCTTTATAAAAAAAAATATATCACATAAGTGGAATCAGATGTCAGGATGGCCGAGCGGTCTAAGGCGCTGCGTTCAGGTCGCAGTCTCCCCTGGAGGCGTGGGTTCGAATCCCACTTCTGACAAAAACTTTTCCCCAAAAACAAAACGATGTTCAAACAACGCTTTTTACCCCCCTCCGATTAAAACAAAACAGAGCGATACGTTAGACTTAAAAGTGGTAGATATTCCGTAGAGGATGAGCTAGAATTGCCATTACTTTACCTTCATTCGTACTCATTTGTTGACGGATTGTTTTAAAATTTTCTACTTGAACCTCATCACATAATGTCTTCCCTTGTCAATTTGTCATCACTGGAGCTGAAACATTGTCGGTATAACGGCAGCATAGCCATACCTTACAATTATCATGCTTAAATCAACACTGCTCTTATAAATTTGATCAAAAATTGAACATGATCACCTTCCCGGAGGATTTACTGCCGGACTGTTGTATTACACGGCATTAGTTTTAGCCAGGTATAAAGTTTTACCTCATTGATATACACGTTTATGTAGCAACATAAAGCTGTTCTGGAGTTGGGTGTTCACAAGAATGCGTCTACAGTCACACACCTGAATGGTGATAGTTTAAAAACAATCTTCATGAAGGTAGGGCTGCTGTATTAGAATAACAACTTTAGTTAGGTGTACCTAATAGACTGGCGGTGTACACATACACTTGTTTTAGGCTTTTCACCCAAAACGTCCTTAAATTTGTGTTAAACGTTTGCGGAGTTCTTCAAGGACCACTTAGGTTTTGCTTGCGAGTTCTACAGTCAGACCCAACTCTTACCCAGACCGTTTGAATTAAGGCTTACATTTCCAGAGAGAACCGATCCATCGTGGCTCAATAGCGCCATCCAGCGGTGCACCATGAGCTGTAACTTGTGTGCAGGACTCAGGACTCTTGTCATACAATAATCATCCATTTTAGCTTGTACTTGAACCAAACTCATATTTTTTTACACACACACAAATGACAATACATTATATATTAGTCTTTCCACACTCCCCTTGAACCTCTGTCACACAATGTGACCTCAAAATAAGTATCAATAAGGATTAATTTAGCACCTGAAAAGCCTTCATTAAATTCACCTCATACATCATTTAACACACCAGTTATAGTCTTGAAAGAAAAAGCACTAACAGGAGTTAGTATGCCCATCAGCTTTTTTTAATCTGGAAAAATCTTTTTGTTAGAGGTCACTAAAACCCAAAACTTACAAACTCTTTGTTTTGTTTACAAACTTTGTGTAATTTAAACTGAACAAAATGTGTGCTCGGCTATTGTATATACCTCAAGTGCTCATTGTCCGTCTTAATGTTTTTAAATACAACACTGTGAACTTTTTAAACAAAATACACAAATGAACTTTCATCAAAATATCCAGTACACATTAATGGAAAACGTATGTCATTTAAATCTTAATAACTATATGAAGTGTTTACTGGCTCCACTTTCTTGTGCATTTAAGAAAAATAACATGGTGCTGCTCACTTATTTCTTACTTTTAGAAACTCAAACTGTGCTAACATTTTGACCATGAACAAATGAATTTTAATAACATTTTAAGGTAAATCAAAGGTAGAATTGGTAATTTAAAGATATGTGATGCTAGGTGACGTGGACATGCTGCACTGGTGGAAACTGCTGCCGAGGCCAAAAAGATACAACCAGACTTTCTTCACATCAGGAGACCTGCAACAGAGAAAAACTAAAGGTGAGTGGGCCATGCTGTCCAATACTTTTGTTGTCTTCTTCTTTCGGCTGTTCCCGTTAGGGGTCGCCACAGCGAATCATCTGTTTCCACCTAACTCTATCCTTGGCATCCTCTACTCTCACCCCAGTTAACTTCATGTCCTCCTTTAGCACATCCATATATCTCCTCTTTGGCCTTCCTCTTGACCTCTTGCCTGGCAGCTCCATCTCCAACATCCTTCTACCAATATAACCACTATCCCTCCTCTGCACAT